TCTACTCTAAAGTATGGAGGAAATGATAAATCATCTATATCCTAATCTATTTATATCCTTGTCAACCTTCATTAATCTTTTAGATTTCCTCCACACTTAGCTAAGAACAGTGCTTCATCAGTAATGACACAGAAAGTAACAACATTTCCATTTTCCAGCATTTTTACTTACTTGATGCAAAGTCTCAAAGTAGACAGTGAAAGAACGCTTCAAGTGAGGTTAGGTTTTCTGTGTTATGGTTTGAAAACTGTGCTATTTACAGTCACAATTTCCATTTAAGTTTTAGATTTGAGACTTACATGCTTTCATATGAAGAATAATGTTCAACCAATGGCTGCTATAATGCCGTTACTGCACTGGCTGGTCCAATTCCTATATCCCTAGCCACGAACCTGCTGTGAAGATGTGCATTGCACCAACTAAGAGCATAGGGTTATGAATAAGACTGACAAGTCTTTGAATCTTGATTCTGCCACTATTAAGTTACTCAACCTCTAGGATCTCAGAATTTTTAAATAAATGATGGTCATCATGATGAAGAGGTAAAACAGCGATGGAGGTGAAGAAGGGAGCAGGTGAGAGACCAGGCTAGCTCTTTCTGTGCTGTATTCCTTAATTAGTGAAGCAACTTTTTTCCCCAATTTGTTCTACATCTACAACAGCAGTCGGTATGTTCTTCTTAAAGGAACAACTACTGTCATTTAATGTTGTAAGTAAAACATTTTTCTAGATCTTTTTCCTCATTGTAGAGGATGAATCAAAAAAACCAAATCAAACCCATTGCCACTGAGTTGATGACTACGCATACCTACCCTACAGGACAGAGTGGAGCTGCCCCATAGGATTTTCAAGGCTGTAAATCTTTATGGAAGCAGATTGCCACATCTTTCTCCTGTGGAGCAGCTGGTGGGTTTGAACCACTAACCTTCCAGTTAGCAGCCGAGTGCTTATCCACTGCACCACCAGGGCTCCCTTGTAGATGCAGGAGATGAGGGATACATAAAACAGTGACTCTCAACTTTTTGTGTGTCTGGACTCCTTTGAAAATCTGATTCATTTTGACAGACATCGGCATGTACACAGTCACTAAAAATTATGTATACAATTCCAAGAGATTCCCAGACTCATTGAAAATACCTGTAACCTTTGTGGGCCCACAGATTCAAGGTTAAGAATCCCTCTGTGTAGGGAGATATGCTAACAAATAAGCTATATCCTGGTTATGTGGGGAGATTAACTGTATTACTACTAGAACAAAAAAGTAAAGCATTTTAGAGTAAAATCATCTTTTAAAGTGAAAATTTTACGTAGGTGTGTAAAATTGTTTATTATAGGGAAATAGTACTATTAGGGGAAAATGTTAGAGGCTTGATTGGGCATATCGTCTCTCTTTTCATAAACAGAAAGGTACAAAGGTACCATCTGTCTGAAATTAAAGAAAAGAAAAAACCTTATTATGGCATAAAAATACTTTAGTATCACAAAGGTAGAACTCATATAGAATTACATGGCCACAATTGATATATAATCATCCATATTTATACAACAGATGTATCAGGGACGGGTATCTATTATAAGTTTTAGATAATAATTTCTCTCTCTCTTTTAAATGATTTTATTTCTATAAATTTGATTAACAAGCAACTTTCAGGATAACTTGTGTCACGTAAAATCGTTATACCTTTGTATAACGATTATAACGATTTGTATAACAATTATAATGCAGCTAAAATCAGAGGGGCCAAGATCGTCCTGATTTACCATGGCTTTTCTACACAATCATGTCATTTATGCAAGGGCCCAGGATCCAAAGTCTCTCTGCAGGTAGTCTGTTCTAAAACCCCGCAAAAACTGAACTAACCTTACATGTTGGTACTAAAATGTTCCTATGATCATTTGAAACAAGATGGCATTGATGGATAGAAGATAACTCACATGAAAATAAAATTTAGGAAAAGCCATTCTATTGTATTCCCCATTTTAATAAAATACTTCTTACCTGGAGCCCATGAAAGGGAATAAATAACCCCTTCATTTCCAGGGGAAGTGTACACTGCTGTTAATGTGTTTATATCCCAGACCTTGATAGTGCCATCAAATGAAGCTGTTGCTAAAAGATCAGGATCATCAGGTTTGAATTTGCAGTCAAAGATAGTTTCTACATGTCCCTAAAAATACAGTATAAAAAAGTCAACTAATGAGAAAACATATTGTCAGGAGAAACTTTGAAACTTCACATGATTTAAAAACAAAGTATAATATATAATCAAGATGACACATGTACAACAGTTTTCAAAACATTAATGAAAAGTATATAGATAAGGAAAAAAAGCATAAAATTGGGATCTCCACTGTGACTGAACATTCTCTGTGTTGTTATTACTGTACTATTTTGTACTGACCTAGATTTCACTCAACCACAGTTCTTCAAGTCAGCAACTTAACAGAAATATGTACAAATTTTTCATTTTTTAATTTCAATTCAAAACCTATTTTCCTGATTATATATAATGTATACGATGCTACTCTAGAAATTTATAAAGCGATCAACTATTAGCTAAAACTGAAACTACAAGTCCTTTAATTCATACTCCAAAACAATTTCACAATTTTGGCAGAAATAAGAAGAATCAGGCATGGCCCCAATTTTTAATGAAATTTGTTCCAAACTTCTCTAGCAGGTTTATTGTTTGGAGCTTGGTATATTTGTTCCCATGGTATATTTGTTCCCATTACACGGTGATTTGGATCCCAAACTGCCCACAAGACTATAAAATGGTTTATACAGGTATATGTTAACATACACCTTTAAAACTAAAATCCACACCCATTGCCAC